TAAAATTAAATGTGGCCTTAGCATATTTTATGAGCGCAAAAAAAAAAGTTTGTAAAATTCTAGGATTTGAAAATAAACACACTTACAAACACAAAAAAAAAAACACACACATACACATACACATACATACATACGAGTTGTACTGTCTGAAAAAAAAAAATAATAGAAAAGAAACGTTTACTTTCTATATAAGTTTAGTTTATAAAAAAAAAAAATACTATATATATAGGAATACTAACCACAACGACTGCCGCAAATGCTTTTTATATAGTATAACGAAAAGAAAAATTAAATGAAATGAAAACCCCAATTAAATGGCTGTTCAAAATCTAAAATTTTCTAATTGATTCTTTTCTCCTCTAGACTTTTTCCATATACATATACGCCCTGCCTTTAACTCGAAAAATTTATTCATATTAATTTCGTATTAAAAAAAAATAAAAACCTAAATAATTAATATACCTAAACAAAATTACAAACAATACCAAGAACAATAATCTATTGTAAAATTTCCAAAAACTAGTCTACTTAGAAATGTTAGAATGGCTATTTTCCTAAAAGCATACTATAAAAACAAATTTGAAAATATATTGAAACATTGTACACAGAATTTAAAAAAAAAAAAAAAAATTCCAGTTTCGGCAAAATAAAAAAAATAAAGCGAAAAGAAATGGTGATAATAATTTTTTCTATGTAAACAAAAAAACTTTCTCAACTGAAATGTAAAAAAGAAGAAACCAAACTATAAATGTAAAAAAAAAAATAATTAGTTCTAATAAATAGTTTATATGAAACAAATCAATGCTGATTCAAAAAAATAACTAAAAGAATGCAAGGGAGGAGATTAAATAATCGATTAAACGATCTAGTGCTAAGGACAAGCATTAATTTAGTCATAAATAAAGCAGCTGACAAATTCTACAAAAAAAACAAAATCAAAACAACTTTTGCATTGTTTTTAATTGAAATTTCTTTAACAAAAAAAAGTAAGTGCGCTTGAACCAATTGAGAATTACAAGCACTCGCTCGATTTGCTTAGTTTTTACATTCATCGATCTTAACAGCTGAGGTTCTCAACAAGGCGCAAGGAGTTCGTCTTCCAGTGCTGTCAACTGTTGAAAAGGAAAAGCTAAAAGTAGTTTCTACAAAAAAAGGCTAGAATAATATGTGAGAGAAAAGTTGACAAAGAGACTGTGAATGTCAAATGGTAAGAGTTGTTTATAATTTATAAATTTGTGTAATTTACAAATATATTTGTATACGTATATGAGCAAGCCGAAGGCCTCAGTTGTCTAAACTATAAAAATAAATGAACGATAGCAGTTTAACTTGGTCCTCAGATCTCAAGACCTGAGAGTATCAAAGTGTTTGTCTGAATCTTAACATCCTTCTATCTTGTTTTATAGCCGATAAAGGAAAAAAGTAAAATAAATAGTTAAGCAATATACCTCAGATTCAGTTATTTATATAAATATCCATAAAATTTTTTTCAGGTGCTGAAATATCTTGAAAAAAGTCTGAATTTGCCTTTGGTAGAAATCTCAGCATTGACTCAAATTGGCAACGCAGTTCAGTTTCATTGTAATTCCCAGCTTCAAGCGCTGCCACGGCATATCCTGCGCAGGCTCTGCGGCCTGTACGCCCGTACAAACAAGATGCATCCTGCTGTGGTTGTTGTTGYTGTTGCTGCTGCAGTGGAGTCGTCCTCTTGAGCCAGTGGCAAATCCTTTATGCGATTTGTAATTCATGAGCAGCGCGCACACAGATTCTTATCATTTATTTTGCAGCGCAAATCGGTATCGAGTGCCACACACACACACACATACACATGCACACAGATATATAAATATATATGTAGTCCTGACTATAACTATATTCATGGCAGCGCTGGGAGGTCGTCGCGACGATAGCTTAAGACGTGCGGAAACCAAATCGGCGTCGTAGAAAATTGAATTTGCTGCCAGCAGGGAGTCCGAGAGGCAGCAGTGCTAAGGGGGTGGCAGGAGAGCACACCCATCTCTTCTGGCAGGGGGCGGGCTGTGCTGGTACTGGCTCGGCCGAGCGTATTGGGCATTTGTGCTCTTGACGCGGCCTGCAAACGTATGTGCAAGCCTAATGAGCCATGAAATGCCAGCCACGGCGTCCTTTCTCCAAATTCTATTTCCCTTTTATGCCTTCTTTCACTTCTTTTTTTTGTCGGTGGGTAATCAGCGACAGCTGGTCAACACTTGACGCGATTGACCCTTAGATACACATACAGACATGCCCATGTACATATATAAATATAGATTATATATGTATGCATGTCTATGTGCGTGCACTTGTGTATATTCGCTGAGGGCTATGTAATTACAGCGTCGAGGGCTGCTGGCGCGTAAATCAAACAAAATCAACTCGACTCGCAGCGCTCTTAATTAAGTTTACACTCTCGCAATTCGATTTTCTTAGCGTGCGAATTGGCATGAGGGCAGCCATTGGAAGTGAAGACTGAACAGTAGTCAGGACGACCAGACGACAGGCGACAAATGTGGCAAAGTCGTTGTCGAAAAGTTGACTTATTGACTGCTGAATGCTGTCATTGGGATTGTCATTGTGATTGTCATTGTCATTGTCATTTTCATTGTCATTGTCATTGTCATTGTCATTGTCATTTTCATTGTCATTATCATTATCATTGTTATTGTCATTGTCATTGTCATTAATATTGCCATTGTCATTTTCATTGTCATTTTCATTGTCATTATCATTATCATTGTTATTGTCATTGTCATTGTCATTGTCATTGTCATTGTCATTGTCATTTCCATTGTCATCGTCATTGTCATTGTCATTGTCATTGTCATTGTCATTGTCATTGTCATTGTCATTGTCATTGTCATTATCATTGCTATTGTCATTTCCATTGTCATTGTCATTGTCATTGTCATTATTATTGCTATTATCATTTCCATTGTCATTGTCATTGTCATTGTCATTAATATTGCCATTGCCATTGTCGTCTCAAAATTTATTGAAATGTATTCATATAAATATGTAAATATATTCAGTCCTTCAAGGCATTTAATTTTGTTCATATTTTATTTTTTGAAAAATACTTTATTATCTGAATAGATAGCACATGTGAAAGTTTTGTCGCCTGCGGCACAGCTCAGGCTCAACTGAGCTCAACTCTGCTTGTTGGGCAATGCTCAGATAGGAAGCGAATAACTCGAGTGAGTGCTCAGCGATTCGTTGTAGTTGTTATACGAGTGTAAGTATTTGCAGCTACAGAATCATGAATGTAAGTGTGGGTGTGTGTGTGAGTGTGCGAATGTTTTGCCTTGGCCATGTGCAGAATTTTTCGTATTGA